AAAAAAAAAAAAAAAAAAAAAAAAAAAAAAAAAAAAAAAAAAAAAAAAAAAAAAAAAAAAAAAAAAAAAAAAAAAAAAAAAAAAAAAAAAAAAAAAAAAAAAAAAAAAAAAAAAAAAAAAAAAAAAAAAAAAAGGAAGACAAGTAATTACAAAACCCAGTAATCCTATAAATACATTGGCATATGAGGAAATCAAGTAACAATACAGAGGACACAAAACAAAACAAAAAAATAATCACAGGTGAGATTCAAGCTTGCAAATACAATTAACTCCATAGCCATCAACTTCACCCAAGAGCAACTCTATCGTTCCAAGAAAGCCCCTCCAGCCCCCCAGGGAAACCACCTTCCTCCTGGTCGGCCACATTCCATCAGCCCCAGCACAAGGACTCACACAGGAGTTTATTTGCAATTTTCACAACAAGAAACAAGGAAGGGAGGTCAATTTGTACAAACTCTTGCCAGTGCTATGTGGCAAAAAAATTAAAAACATACAAAGAGTAAACAAGTTTAGACCACATGGATAGATTAACAGCTGTTTAAACTCTATAACCACCAGACATCTGTAAAGGAAAACAAAAACTGAAGTGTGGTTATTTGGGCTAAGAAGGCGAGTATTTCATTTTAGGTAAGCTGTCCACTAGAACATCTGGTATCAGCTACTTTTCTCTAAAACAATATGGCAGCTTCTCAATTAGTAAAGTTGCCTCTTAACAATTTTTCCCAATCAACAACTGACAGTAAAAATTTTCCTTTAGAAACCTGACCTTTTAGAACCATTTTTAATGACAGGCATTAGCTGAAACTTGCTTTTCACACTCACTGGTGACTAAAATTCTCAACTGTTTTAGTTCATATAAATTTATTATCTTCTTACAAATGAATGCAGTTTTATCTTCCACAAGTGCTGCTGTTACTTGAACAAAAACTTCTTTGAGTAAGTGAAACTGGAATAAATATTTTTAAAAAATTCTGCAGCAAGAACCTGAGACTTGCAAAAAACCCTTTTATCAGAAACTTGCTACAAAAAATCTGCTACATTTCATTTAATCAAATCTTAAAGTTTGTAACAATTTCCATCAAAATACAAAATGCTGTTAATGTACCAGACACATAAATATCTCAAACAGGTATGATGCTAATAAATACTAAATGAAACATGGAAAAAAATCCCATAATCAAATCTGAGATCAAAGAATCTCATTTAAAATGTGTTTTCTGCTTATTTTTGTTGTTTTTAATCGCACTTTCCCACCTAAAAAACACAGCTTCTGCATGGGTTGCATTTAGGTGTAACTAGACATACATGAACGCTTAAAACCTTTTTCTGCCATTAGCTACGAAGAAAAACAGTGGCATTCGGGGGAGAAAGAGATCCAAGATAGAATGATGTTTAACCATAATGTACAAAGCACTCTGGATCACTGCAGTAGCCCAAGGCCCACGTTCTCTCTCTGCAGCACTACCCTGGGATGAGCCGTAGAGGTGGAGACAAGTCCCTTAGCTTCGGTCTGGACATGGGAGCAGAGTGATTACAGTCCTCCATGAACACTGTTGGTAACTAAAATACAAAAAGCTGAGGTAGCTCAGTATCTCTGCAGTAGTCTGTTTTCTCTAATTAAAAACTAATCACACTGCATTGCATATTTGTGGACAGACACTCCTGCAGCTACGTAGGGACAGTCACAACGAATGGTTTACGATGGGAACACCAGCCAACTGCTCTACAACACTTTCCACATGGGTTCAAAATAAATCAGCCCAGGTAATGTTCTAACTCTGAGCTTGTGATGAAACACAAGGGTTTTTTCCTTGGAATTGCCTAGACTTATTCTCTCCAGTTGCCAGAGAGGAAAGGTGTTGAACTCCACAGTTCAGACCCAGAGAACCCCGGTCTGAACAGATGGATTCCAAAGGATGTGCTCCAATCCCCCAAACAGTAACAATGCTTTGCACGGAACAACTTGTGAAACCTAATGTAAGTTTTATTTTCAACTGAGGTTGGGCTCCAGCATTTGACCAACTCTAGTGTCTTACCTGCACTGCACAGTCCAAGCTATATTACAAACACACAACTTCAGAATGAAACCTGCCAGTATTAACCTTGTTTTCCTTAAAGAACTCACACTGGAAAACAAGGAAATGGTGGGAAAATGCTTCATTTTTAGCAACACAGAAGAGTTTCACTGTGTGACTTGTTTTTAAAACAAATATATACCAATGAAAAAGGAATTTCACCATTTTGGTAAAGTATGTGGCTTTTTCAGTGTGTCTTAGTTTAGTTCTGTAGAGTAAGACAGGCATTATAGAACCATAATACTGGTTGCCATCCAATGAAGAGAATACAATTCATCCTTTTGGAGATCTTCATTCTGCAGACAGCTTTCTAACATTGCCATTTGCTATAATCCAAACAAATTGCTTAGCCTAATCTTTCTCACTTGACTAAAAGGCACATTAAAGGCAGTTCTAGAGAGCCTCATCTTCAAATTACTGTACATCCAGTTACTCAAGATTCCTACCACAACGCATCACTGCCTTCTTTAGAACAGATTTGTTTTGTCCATTACCCCAGAGAAGAGAAAAATTGGAAAAAAAAAAATTAAAAAAAGGTTGCCTGTTTAAAAATATTCAACTTAGATCTGCTCTTTCCAGTCCTCTTGTGTGTGTTGGTCTTCACCTTGCCCGAAGTTTTCCCCAAAGATAAATGCATGTAGAGTGAACAAGAGCAGGAATGAGAACAGTTTCTGTAGCACCAAAAAATCTCCAAGCTGTGGCATTGTATTCTTTATTTATATCAGATACAACTATATGAAGTTCTGTTTGGTTCTTGTAGGCTGGTTGGTTTCAGGTACCTGAGACAATAGCACCAAATTCAACAGAAACAAAAAGAGAGAGCACTTAAGACCAAGGCTCTGCACATACTTGGTGCAAATGGAAACTGAATGGCTCAGAGGGCTGCTCTCCCATGAGCAGTTTGAGAGGATAAACCCACCCATCTTGACAAGTTCACAGGAATGTTTCAAACACATGAACTGTTCTTTCCATCTCCTGCAAGAGACACAGACCATCGATTACACATAAATATACGAAGACAGAAATAAAGTTACATTATGTACTTGTATTTACTTTTTTTTTTAATCTGAACAAATAAATAATTGGAAAATAGACATTTCTGTTTATTAGCTGCTAATATAGTAAAAGAGGAAGCTAATTAAAGATGTATTAATGCAGAAAAGCACTCTACTATGACAGTCCATGAGAAAATCGAAGCTTATTAGGGTCACTTATATAATTAATGTGCTCAACATGTCTTAGGAAAGCATTGCAGTGGCACACTGCATGAATTCAAGTCTTACTGTACACTTATGCTACTGGTGACCCAGCTATAAACACATCTCTGCACAGTTTGGATAATCCAAGTAAAGATCAGTCTCTACATACTCCTGCTGGATAAATGTCTTTTTAATCTACCCAACATTTTGCACAGTTTTTCAACACATTTTAAGGTGAAGATTGCAAAGGAACAGCATGAAAATGGTTTGAAAAGTGTTTTGCAGGAACTCTGAAAAATCCCACACTAAGGCCTTTCCAGGTTTTGTTGTAAATTATTCATGGAGAAAAATATTTAGTGCTCAGTGATCCAACTGGAAACTTGCAATTGTTGTCCTTTTTCTCAGCAGGGCTGGTTATCAGCAAGCTGATCCAAACCCCTCTGCAGATAAACAGTGATGTTGGAGGGAATGCATATCCAGAGTTAGGACCAGACTGTGCCCATGGTGAAATGACCCTTTTCTGAGGAAGTTTCATCAGAAACAATCCCTGGTTTCCAAGTCATTGCTACACTAAACTTCTTTCTGTTTAAAGTCTCAAAGTCTATTTAAAGGTTTTGCCTGGACACCAGTGAATTGAGAAATTAACAGTTCTTGAAAAACCTAAACCTATCTCACAATATTCAGATAACGAATAAAAGCAACTGTACAACATCACCTCTATAAGTTGCGATTTGTCATAGTCTCTACGATGTCTGTAGATGCACTGACTGAGGAGTGAATACAATCTCTCAAGTTGGTCAACAGTCAGGTTGTCACTTTTCTTAACCACCAAATCAAGCAGTTTCTGTTGGAACAACGAAAGGTGAAGAGAGTTTTAATAATCAGTTTTTTATAATCAGTTTTTACAGTGTTTTTAAGGACAAATCAGAAATGCAATCTCTTTCTGAAGCCCTACTTTGAAGAGATACTGCAAGTAAAATGAACCACAGCTGGGTATCAGCAAGTCCGTTGCTTCCATATAGATACTAAAAGGACTTGATGTTTCTCTTCACTTCTCTGCTAGTACCTACACTTTTTTTTTCTCAAGATCTTTTTACTCAGCATAGTTGGGGCAATGTTTTTTTCTGTTTGAATGCCACTTCATCTTATTTCATCTTGGTCAATAAAAACTGCCTTGATAGCTAAAGCAGACATTTTTAACAATTTGCACTGGCAAGAAATTTTAAGTACTCTCAAATGAAAACACACTTGGAATTCCACAAATGTTGGCAAATGGTGCAAAAAAGAAGGGGACAAGGAGGGGGCACATAACACATGTAAAATTGCTCATAAACAAAAGGTGAAAGTATATTACGTAGTAGCAAGGAGTAAAATTTAAGATTGTTTTTTTCCTCTCGTAACAATTCTACGGTTCCAAAGAGATTATCATCTGTACTCCACAGAAAACGGGATCTCAATTTCATAGTAGGTCAAGCTAGTTTTTACAATAGAAGACAGCAAATTTTTTTGTAACTTTGCTTAAAAAGGGACAAAACTGAAAGAAAATTAACCAGCAGTCTACGATACCAAAACATCAGCACAAATTCCAGTTTGCTTTCCAATCCACTAACAGTTCCCTCCACCAAGTAAACATACACAGGAAAGGAAAAGATGATGTTAACTCCTAATTACTAGGCATATTAACTCCTAATAACCAGGCACCCAGCAGCTCCAGGTACCTGGCATGTCCAATTAACACATATGAGTACCTGCAAAAACTGCAATTAAAATAGTGGACTGCTGTGCCATTACTGGATTTGTAAATGTAGTAATGATGGGACAGTCAGGATTCAGCAGTTCTATTAATTTTTCATCCAAAAAACACCGACCAACTAATCATTTGCAGAAGTCACCGTGGCCGTAACACTTGTTTGCAGTCAAAAATAAAGGAAATGCTTCAGAACAGAGAAAGGGAGCATTTTTCATGGAGTTTGTTAACAGTTCAATTTATTTTTTCCGTTCTGTTACCTTTAGTCTGTCATGGTCAACAATTACAGAGGGTAAGGGATCTGATGGTTCCTCTGGGACCTGCTCCAAACTTGTGGGCTTTGACTGTTCCACAGCGACTTTTCGTGTTTTCTTGCTTTTGAATACACCTGTAATTTGAAAAACAATTATCAGCAATGTCAGTCTCACAAAATGAACAGCTTGTTTCTTCACTTCAGTTTGATTTTGCTTGTTTGGTTTGTTGAGTTGTTTTGAATCAACCAAGATTGAGCAGTGCACATTATTCATCAGCTTTGCAGAATTCTGAATGTTTACAGGTGCACAAAACTACAGCTCAGAAAAACACACATGAAACTGGTAATCTTTAAACTGAACTCAGAAGTCCCAAGAGAAAACTGAATGTCACTAAGTTCTCATTATATCATTTCTATTTAACAACAACAAATTAAAAAGTTTCTACGAGAAGTTCAAATACTAAGCTAATGCTGAAAAATCTTTCTGCTTAAGTGAAACAAATCCTCATTTTTCTCTCCAAAGCATCCCATGTCTTCCTCACCACAGTAATTCTAACATCTGCTTTACTTCAGAAACCTCATGCTTTTGTGACACATTCCTGTTTTTTTCCACCTCCATGTTCAAGATATTGTCCAATCCTGTTGCAGAGAATAAAGTGCTTTTATATCTCCTGATTCTCTCCCTACATTCATTCACTATTTTTCTCCTCCTCAGCTATTTAAAAAGCCTTTTCTTTTGAGGACCCCACTAATAACTATCCTAAAGTACACAAAATTCAACTGCCAAATTTAGAAATGTAAAGGCTGTTAACACATGGTACTCTTCCTGTGATATTCTTAGGACCTTTCTTGTACTACTCTCCTTACCCTTAGAGAAAACACGTATGTACAAACACAGTCAACATTCAGACCGTGATATTCTCAAAATTCAGATCTATCATTAAAGCTCATTTACTTTGTAAATCTCAGCACTAACTTTTGAAGTAAAGATTTCATCCTCTTAGATAATTCTGAAAAGCTCATTAAAAAGGCAGTCATGCATAAGGCTTTTATTTCTGTTCCCTGAGGAAACCACGTCTCTTGTCTTCAAAGGACGTGGCCCCTTCTTTTATGCACCACCAGGATTTCCCTTCTATCCTTCTGCTGCACTGTTACTGTGCTGAGACTCCAAAGCCAGATACCTTCCCCAACAGATAAACAACAGTTTATCTGGTTTTTTCTATGACTTAAACTTTTACTCTCGTTTTTGCAATGAACAAATGTTTTTAAAGGAATATATTATGTATTTCTATGGTTTTTCATCCAATGCCAGCCAATGATACTTTTATGATAAATCTCTAAACAAGTCAAAACTTATCATGTAAATCAAAATATGAATCAGACAGAATACACAGACTAAAAGCTGTATCATATATTTATCTCCATTTATAATATTTTTTAATATTTAATTATTTTAATGTTATCTCAGTATTTACAGTACTGCTCACAGAGCCTACAAAAATAAACCAGAATAGTGTTAGTATGAAGATACACTTACTTGCCTAAGATAAAAATATAGGAAGTCAAGAGTGGATTTCTAATTTTTTTTGTGTGGAATTAAATGTTGTAAGCACGCTAAGAGAGTTTCAAATAAATAGTCAGCAGTTCATAAAATACTGCTATATATAGTACAAACTGTAACATATCACAATGAAAAATATACACATTAACTTAGACACTAATATTAAGACAGAAACATTGAAAACAAGTTATACCTTCTTTATCTGCTTCAGCATCTTTAGTTTCCATGTCTGTGCTCTGTAGTGTTTTCTCATTATTGCTGCAATGTGGTAACTCATCTTTCACTAGATCACTTCCTTGACTTTCACTGGAAGCTTCCATCTTCTCCTTTGGCTGATCTTCAGATAAAGATTTTTGCTTGTTACTATCACTGTTGTCACAGGGTGAAACAGCATCAAGTGATTCCATTTTGCCATTATGACAGGCTGGAACAGGTACACCTTCGGAGCTGGGTACAGATGTCTCTCCATTCACACAGTCCCCTTTAGACGTAGAGTCCTTCCTTAAATCCTTTTCAGTACCCAGGGTAACACTGTCAGTTATTAACAGGGATTCATTTGAGCTCTCTTCTTCTGTGGATGCAAAATTGTTTTCCTTTGCTGATGTCCCATTGTTAAGCCTCTGCTCTGCATCTATATCCATAATATCACAGGATGATTCATCATTTGTCATAGAGAGGTCTCCTGTTTCCTCTCCATTCTCCTCAATGCAGTCAGTGCTGATCTCTAGCTCTCCATTTTCCAGCAGTTTACTGTCCTCACCGTGATTTTCATCATCAGCAAACTTTGCATCATCTTCATCTTTCTTTAAATTATTGACCTTCCTCTTCTTAATAATGCCTTTGCCCCACTGCGAGCGCCGTCTCGATTTCCTCCTTATTCGAACTGAATTACAGTGGGAAAAAAAAAACCAAAACCTTTTAGATGCAAAAGTACCCCCCAGTAAAGATATCAAGATATTAAAATATGTTGCTGGGTGTGAAGAAAATGTGTTCACACTTCAAAGAAAAAGCTGTCTCTTGATTTCAATGTGAGAAAAGTAGAGATACCAAGGGCTTTTAGAAATATGAGTGGACACTCAGTCATGTACACAATTCCTAAACTGTGGAAACAAGATATCCCTAAAAATGTATTTTATTCATTAAGTATAATATACTACAAATATATAAATTTTGCCTATAAATATATACATTTGTAGGTAAAACACTGAAAGAAACAGCTAAGCAATGATGTAGAAATCATTCTCATTTGGGTAATGCAGACTCTAAAGACAGTTATTCTCATTTTCCCTTTTTAGGTCCTCATCGATTTAAAATCATTATACAACAAGCAAGAAGTGCAAAATATGGATTCATAGAATAATTCCGCTTGGAAGGGACACAAGGAAGTCTCTACTCCAACCTACTACTCCACCCAGGGTCAGCTGTGAGGCCAGACCAAGTTGCCCAGGGTTTTACCCAGCCAAGCGTTAAAAACCTCCACGGGTGCAAGACTCAAGGACCTTCATGAGCATCCACAGGGATGTGGAACTGCCGTAAGAGCGAAAAGGCTTTTTGACTTGTATGACCTCTTATTCTCATTTATGTCCACTGCCAAGTCAAAGGCATCTTCACTGTTTAAATCAGCTAAATCTCCTCAATCTCACATCCATCCCCACCTCTGTACTCAAGATCACTGCATTGACAAAATGCGGTTTTTAAAAAAAATCTCACAAACGCCTCATTTATACAACGAGCCTGTAAGCAGAAGAGGAAACAGTGCTCCTTAAACTAAACCCCACCAACCCTGCCTTCCCTCCATATTGTGCAACTCAACTTGAAGCACCATGGGCATGTGACAATTTTTTCAGTATTTTTGCATCCTTATTTGTTCATTATTTCTTATTTCTTAACTATATTCTATGCCTATGAAAAATTACATAATACACTGCTTTTCAGAAAGGGCATTTTATTTTATTAATCCATCTGCAGTGAGATACAACTAAGGTACCAATCTAAAAACACACTTTGGGGCACTTTTGCAATATGATTAGCAAATGTAGAAGGAAGACCATTCAAACCTAACGCTATTGTCAACATCCTTTTCAAGAGCACTAAAAAGACACAGCTCAGAAGACCAACAAAAATGCTGGGAAAAACTGAAGCTTCTACATTCAAATTCAAGCAATGATGAAAACTGCTCATATTTTTGCAAAGCTGCTGAACTTGTGACCAGGTGACTATAAATGAAAGTCACAGCCAACAGTTACCAGAGATGGACAAATTACCTTCCATTTCAAAATGCACTGTTATGTTAAGCACCTCCATAATGTTCTTTATATTCGTAACTTGCTTTGATTTATGGAGTATTAAGTTCTGGATCTGTGTCTGCCAACCTCCCACTGAGTTACAAAGATTTTGCTTTGAAGATACAAGCACTGTGCAGCTACAAGTGCTGAGAATTAATTCACAGGCGCTCAGAGAAGCACAGCTGTACTTCAGAACTTGCTTCCCACAAGTGTGTATGCAGGTAGTTTCACCACTGCATTAGGAATAAACCTTAACCTTTCAGCTTTAAAGCTATCTAAAGATACAATCACACTGCAACAGGAACAGTCTCACTTGGAATGTGCATTTATTTCTACAAATAATCCTTATGAAGAACTGCAAATTTTGAGGGGAGGGAAAAAAGGAACCTTTCTCCAGCTATTTTCAAGGTTTGGCAGTGGCTTCTACAGTCAGTGTCACTGTTTTATTGACAACAAACTGCAACCCACTCATAAAACTTTTCAGGAGTTCATGTATTTTTTTCCCTAGATTGTACAAGAGATTTTCATTAACAACTGAAGCAGCAAATCTCAAACTAAACAGGGAGATGTAAACTTATGACAAAATAAACTCCCCTCTCTGGCAATGGGCTTAGCCTCAGTTCATCTCCAAAGATGGGTAAATAACACATAGAAGGGGAGTAAAAGTCTTTTAAAGGAAATCTAGTATGTCCTGAAATGTATAAATTAATAGTTGAAATTTTTAAAGATACACTGATTTTGGTTCTTTAAGTGGACTTTGCTGTAAGTCAGGTAGACATATCAGCTATAATGTCAACTATATTTGACATTTTTTATATCAGTAAACTGTACTTTAAATATTTTAATGGTGCATCTCTTCTGTTCACCCTTTGAGTCCCACCTGGGATGAGGACCTATAATTTGCCTGACCACGTAAGTACATTCCCAAAATTCTTAAGTGAGAGAAATCACGTTAAAGCAAAATGGAATTAATCCTTGTATTACACATCTTATTAAATTTCAAGTCTGCCTAAATGACAGTCAGCAAGTCCCGCTCACTCACTGTCTCCTGCATACTTTTCAAACATACATTGTGCGTGTTGTTTATTACTGCTATTTTTAATCAGGACAAAGCAACCACAAAAAAGTGCTGCAGCAACGTCTTTTGGGCTGAGAGAGGAAATTCTGGCTCCAGATCCTTAGCAACCAAAGCATTGTTACACGGATTTTTCTTCTCTACACACAGCCAAGCCTCTAAAACAGTGGAAAAGCTGAGCAAGAAATACTACATTTACAAACAAAACCCACCACCAGTCTGTCTTTCTGTCCTGCCCAATTCCTGTAGGTAAGGGAATGGTACAAGTAGGGGAAGTGTTTAATGGGCCAGAGAACCACGGGATCAATTGCAGACAATAACACCAGCTTGCATAATCGAGACTGCTTCCCTTTGTTTTTACTGGAAAGAAAAAGGCACTACTGCAAGAATATCATGGACCTGAGGAGCTGCTTTATGAGGCAGGAAAAAGTAAAATTTACGTCTGCATCCTGCAGGACAATAGAATATGACTCAAAAAAGAAGGAGCTACCAAAGGATAAAACTGATGCAAAACTAAAAGGCTAATGGGTAGGAACTATCGAGTTAATGGACTGCTGCTAAAAAAAAAGCAACTTAAACTGGGGTCTCATCTTTGCTACTTTAATGTTTATATTTTAGAATACTGAACTTTCAAGAGTAGAATGCCAGTCGTTTTATTTTCTAGTCAATATGATTCATGACATACTATCAGTTTCCTATGGGTAACAGAATAGGACAGTTATTTACAGAAGAAAAACTTTGAGTGAACTTCATTAAAAAAACGAACTGAGTACAGACAATTGCAAGTTAATGCCTTAACACCTTTTCAATTACTCCTTTTAAAACTACTCATCTGAAATCTCCCCATTGATACCCACTCTTCTGGCAGTTTTTGTGCCAGAGGCAGTAAAAATACTATTGTCAGAGGAATCCTGCTTTATAGAACTGAGTTTCTATAACTCAAACTATTATAATACCAATTATTCACACATGAATACATTCACTTGCCTTCTGAATTTCTCAACTCTTCACTCTATAATCTTCACATAACCTCTACAGATTTGCCAAGGGGATCCTCACTTCAGCTCTAGCTTCCTTCTGGTTTGCTTTTTTGTAAATCACTACTCGGAATTTTTAATGACAATAAATACCTGTCTGACCAAAACTCACACAAAACCAAACTTTACCTGCTCCCTTTTTTTTTTTCCTAAGCTGCACAATCCATGCAGACAGCACTTTTTAAAAGTGCTATGTAATACAATGCAATTAATCACTGAATACAAATTTACTCTACATTTTGTTAAGCAGTAAGGTTTCTCAGTCCTTCCATTCTAAGTTGAGTTACCCTGAAAGTCTGAAAGATCCATAAACAAGGCAGACAGCATTTCCCTCAGTAATGATTAAAAAAGAAAACTCTGTATTGTCTTTACTTCAGAAGGACTAGTCCTCTAGGTGAAGTTAAGAAAAATGAAACCTTTTCAAGGACTTTTTGAATGAAGACTTTTAGAAAGTCTGCATTCTTGCCCACTCAAGTGCTGCTTGGAGATTGTCAAGTCAGATACACCAAGTAATGACATCTTCTGGTGAAATAAGCACCAACCCTGTCCAGAGCAGAGCACAGCCCTTGGCTACTAAAGAACAATTATAGTAAAAAGTAAAACCCTAAACAATATGAAACAAACAAACAAACAAAAAAATCCAACTCCTTTCCACATTCCTGAAATATTTCTGCAAGATCTAATTGTAACTATGACCTTTCTGTCTAGTATGGTCTGAAGAAAAAAGATCTCAGAAACATGGGTTGATTGGTACAGAAGCTTCAGAGTTGAGGATGCACTGTTGCTGTCCCCCAAATTGAGCACAACAGTGACAGAACTGAAGACTATACAGAAATAAAGTTAGCTGTTGGAAAAGAAAGCAGATATAATTAGAAGATTCAAAGACTGTCAATTATTAACAAGCAAGTCTGCTTCCCTTAATGTGGAACTCTAATGAGATGTAGCAACAAAAGCAGAGATGTTTCTCTTGAAATTCCTGTAGTTTGACTACTACAGTACAGAAAGTGCAGCACAGCATTCAGAGGCTAACAAGTTCACTTTATGCTGCAGAAAAGACCCTTACATGCCTCTGCACTGCTTAAAATCCATCAGAGAATGTGAGTGCTCTATCATTAAATGATAATACTGACATCCATCAAACAGTAAATTCTCTGTTGTTACTTTATTTCATGAAGAATTCCTGGGGATTAAAATCCAAAGAAGATTCTTATGGCAAGCAAGATCACCACAAATCTAGACTTTTTGTCTGCAGTATCAAGATCCACTTAAAGCAATGCACATTTTAGGTTTTTCTTCCATGATCAAAACCCTTAAGTCCTTTTTGATGTCTTGTGTGTAAAGTAACTCAAAGCCTTGAGAAAGCACTTACTATCAGCAACTTATGCTCTTTTATGCAGCATCCAGGATATCTATGTACTTGCCACAGCAATTTAGCTGCCTCCAGTAGCTCCACATTCCTTACCAAGGGGCACCAAATAGTCCACTT